TTTTTTACGCTCAACCGTCTTTCACGTCCGACCGGCGCCCTTGGTTAGGTTAGGTTAGGGAATGTACTAATGAAAAGTAATAATAAACTATTTTATGTGAAGTGGTTAAGCTTTTCTTCCAGGTTTAACTCATGGATTGATTTGATAGTTTCAGATATTATTTAATATAATTTATAATATTTAAACTTTATAAACCAAGGTTTATACTATTAAAAATAAACACATATTTTTTTTTAAATCGTGTTATATTTAAATAAATCTACATTTATTAGTAGTTAATAATAATAATAATCTTTACTTCAAGGAATGTAACATACAAATGTAAAAATACAAAATAATATATACAGAAAATGAAATGACGTCACACAATATTTATTGACTTGTCTACAGGAAATCTGAGAGATGAGCCATATCTCTCAGATTCAAATCTCTCATCTATCAAATTAACAAATTTTTCATTTGTGCAACTACTCTTTACTTCTATTAACTTGACTTCAAGTGGCAACCTATTAAACAACTTTATACTCATGTACCAAGGACCCTTCTCGTAGAGGCTCAGCTGATATCTTAGGATTTCAAAATCCACAGTTCTTGTATTATAGGCATACTCAGCCGAGACTTATAACAGCCGAGACGAAAAATATTCTTGGTATATATTTGATCTGAACACAGCCCTGTTATCGTTCTTATTCAGCTGATCTTCCAGAAGTGCAATCCTTGTCGTGTATTTGGGTTTATCGTCTTCTATCTCGACGATTTAAAATGAATAAAGTTGATTAACGATTGGAGGATTATGAAAATTCACTGGTCGATTTTCATCTTTTATAGTAACATCTTTAACTAAAAATAAAAATACTTTATACGCTTGTATATATCTTAGTATAAATAACAAACCTCTGATTCATTTTTAAATCTTTTTCTTAATCTGCCAAATCTAGAAGATGACTTGTAGGGTTAAAGACAGGAAGAATATCCCAAATTTTGGCTGAATTAGACTTATCTATTAACATAATTCGTCTTAAAAACAAAAACGTATCTTTTCGCTAATTTAAACTCAATAAATGATAATTTTGCAGGTAATTTGGCAAAACGGACTTACCAGTTATAAAGTCTTTGGAACAAATTCGTTTCTTTTTACTCTCACTTTCATACAGGGGCCTTTCATTTCAAAGCTTTGAACCACACTTCTCTTCGAACATTAGATAATGCTTTTAAATTATTTCCTCTGTTGGTCAAAGCAGCATGATTTGGAAAAATTAGACATTATCACGCATTAAACACTTAATAACACAACAAAAATGAGGCATTTTTCACTGTTTTAAGTTCGTTTAAACCTTGGATTATTGTGTTTACATATGGACAACGTGAAAATTAATTGGTTTGTGTGCCTCCCAGCAAATTTTGCCGACCTGTCAGTGACGTCATTCTGGAATGGTCTATACTGTTACAACCTAACCTAAACGCATTTTAATCAAAAAGTCAAAATTAAACATTCTTTGGCAGCCCAATCAATTTTTTTTCCTTTTTCATTGACTAAGCTGCCAGTGCCAATCTGGCAAAATATCTATCTAATTTCATTCTTTCAATATATCTTAAACAAAACTTAAATACTAAATTAAAAAAAGACAACACACACACAAAACACATATGCTTGGAGCTGGACTCGAACTAGCAAACTCACACGGCCGGCCCAATCAAATTTTACCTTTGACACTGATCAAATCAAATGAGAAAAATGAGAGTAAAAATTCAAGGTCGTGAAACACGAGACGAAAAATGGTAAGGACTGATAGCCTACGGCTTAGAAATATGTAGTGGCGCGACATGTATTTGTGAGTCCACGTCTTTATAAAAATATTGATGTTTCAAAACAAATTTTGTAAAAGCGAATCAAATTATTTATTAATTAGATACTAAAGGATACTATAGACTATACATAAAATTACTAGACAATACAGACGGAAAACGGTTATTTTAATACAAATTTTGTGAAAGGAATGAAATTCTTTACTAATTTTTAATTTATTACTTTTTCAACATTTCAAACCACACTTTTTCAAACATGTCCTTCAGATCCTTCAATTATAGTTAGAAGTTTCACTTTGGAAAAAAAATTAATAGTAAAATTAGTAGTTTTTGTAAATTGCAAAATATTTCAATATCATTTTTTCATTCAAAAAATGTTAGATTTCTGTATGGTAAAAATTTATCTTTGTTTCTGATCTTTGAGTACTCAAGATATTTGAGTGACATACTACAGGGTTTATATACAGGGTGTCCCACTTAAGATGGATACAAGCCAATATCTTGGTTGTTTGTTGAGCGATCTTTTTCATTTTTGACAGGAGGCTGTATGGCTATAAGACGTACATTTTGCCCAGGGTAAGAAATGCGATATCTCATAGACGTATATTTTAATGGGGTTTGATATTTTTTGAGTCAAGAGTAAACTACCCTTAGGACAGTATTTATTTCAAATCTGATAAATTATATTGAATCCTCCTTACCCAAGATACTTAAGTTCTAATTTTGATAAATATTGATACAGTGTGTGTTATTAAAATAAGACATTTTTATTTATATTATTATCTTTTTAAGTACTTACGACGCACGACGCCACTGGATAAACAACTGGTTAATTATCAATAACCAATTATAACCAATTATCAATTAATAATCGATTTAAGTTTTCAGATAGCTTCCATAATAATTAAGATACGATACAAAAAACTAAATATTTTCAATTTATTTTGTTTACTTTAATTTTTTTTTTAAGTTTGCTAATACAATAAATTAATATATTTTTTAAAATATTCCTCAATAAAACGAATAAAAATTATATTTCACATTCCACTGGGTTTTTAAATTATTTTGTAACTCATTTTATTCATGTGTATTAGCAAACTTAAAAAACAATTTTTTAAAGTAAACAAAATAAATTGAAAATATTTAGTTTTTTGTATCTTATCTTAATTATTATGGAAGCTATCTGAAAACTTAAATCGATTATTAATTGATAATTGGTTATTGATAACCAGTTGTTTATCCAGTAGCGTCGTAAAATAATAATAATAAAAATAAAAATGTCTTATGTTAATAACACACCCTGTATCAGTATTTATCAAAATTAGAACTTAAGTATCTTGGGTAAGGAGGATTCAATATAATTTATCAGATTTGAAATAAATACTGTCCTAAGGGTAGTTTACTCTTGACTCGAAAAATATCGAACCCCATTAAAACGTACGTCTATGAGATATCGCATTTCTTACCCTGGGCAAAATGTACGTCTTATAGCCATACCGCCTTCTGCCAAAAATGAAAAAGATCGCTCAACAAACAATCAAGATATTAGCTTGTATCCATCTTAAGTGGGACAACCTGTATATATTTATATACCGGGCGCGTCTCAAAAGTGGTTCACCCCCTATAACTTTTTTATTTTTTCAGTTAAAAAAACGAGGTTTGGTATGTTAGTAGATGACATAAACTAGGATTGAGTGACGTATTCACTTGTTTTTAGTAACTTCCTGTTTTACCGGAAATGACTACATCTTTTGATTTTTAAATGACACCCTCGCTATTTTTTTAAATTATTCCATATGTGGTTTATTTCGTAATATGGCTTATTTGAAATTATACCTTGCTGTTTGTAACGAAAATTTGACTCGAAATATCAAGTGTGTGGTATCAAATTATTCGTAAAAAAATGCTTTTTCCAGATATGCTAATGAGCCACCCTCGTTCCATTTGAAAAAATTGAGATATGATTAAAAATACGATTTGAGCATTTTCTAACTGGCCAGGACAACACACTAAAAACCTTAGACGATTAAATCTATTTTTCCAAGGCTCCTTGATTAAGAATTAGTGTTTTTAACATAGCCATGGTACTCTACATTGAATTTTAAAATACAATTTTTTATTAAGCGAGAATGTCAAAAGTTGACATATAATATGTTATTCTATTCAGAATGTCATCTTCTATCGAATAAAGAAAAAAAAATACCGAGGGTGCCATTTAAATATCAAAAGTTGTAGTCATTTCCGGTGAAATAGAAAGTGACCAAAAACAATTGAATACGTTAATCAATCCTAATTTATGTCACATACTAACATACCAAATCTCGTTTTTTATCTGCCAGACGCTTAGTTATTGAAGACAGACGAGATACGAGCTGCGCAGGTCAGTTTGCGCGAATAACAACTCAATATTTCTCGTAAATTTTGGCACTCTCTGAAAAACTTTAATTTAGACTCTATAAGATGTTAATATAATTCCAGAGGCATTGGATGATCATAACGAGATAAATGATTTGTTTGCACCCTTTGTTCAAAACGTTTCCAACTATTCAGATAGTACTTATCATTTTTCGAGTTATATTAATGATAAACTACATTTTTCAAGTAATTTTGTAAACAAGGCCTAAATATCACTCATTAACAGTTGTATAGAAAGAAGTTATTTCCTTGAAGGTGTCTACTGGAAAACCATTAACTAAAACATCAAAACCGGAAAATTTTAATGACAATAGGGTAACTAGTAGGTATTCTCCCGGTTGATTCCGGGTTTTTGAGAGAATTCTTTATAATCAAATGTATGAGTATTTTATTGGTATTATTACTCATATTCAGTGTGGATTTCGACGTAATTTCAGTACAACTGCACTTTTAAATGTTCTCTTATGATCAAATCATTTCCTTTTGATTACAAAATTAATATATTATGTATTTGTCAGCGTCGTATCCTGACTTCTGATTTCACGAATGACAAAAATTACATTAGCTTGCTTTATTCGTAGAGACCATTCATTTTAGATATTTAATTTTTAGTGTTTTAATAAAATATGATATTTTAATTCACAGTTTTAGATTGACGATGGGACTTTTTGGCCGTGTTAGCGTGACATTTTTTTTTCTAAGGTTGTATTACTCCCAAAGTATAGAACAACGCGCCGACACTGCCTCTACCCCTGTAAATATAATTTAATTTTTTCTAGGTGAAAAACCTGATCCACAAGATCCAAAAAATTCGCCCTTTTTTGAATATTTGAATCAAAACGACTTTGAGACGTTCGATGCTGACATTTTCAGACTGAACCCCTATGCAGCGGAAGTTAATAAACTCTGTAATGTGTCTGAATTGGATCGTAATTTGCGATTGCAATGCTTGAAACTAAGAGACAGAAATGAAATAGAGTTTGATGGTATGATGGTTCCAAATAGGGCTAGAGAGATCTCACTGGGGCCTCTGAAGGACTACAAGAGACGAAAGGCTTTGGACGGTTTGTAGTTTTGAATAAATCAACTGAAATTATTTTTAAAACAATATACTGGTTATATGGGGTGATTCGCCGCGATGGTACGTTAGACGTTTATGAACCGGTGAAAAAGGATTTTTTTTGAAAATCTGGATTTTTGTATAAAGGCACCTGCTCCATCTATGTATAAGATGTAAAATATTATCAACGTTACAATGTTGCCGGATCAATTGAAGAGTGGAAGCATCTTTGTTATTTCAAATTGAACACCCAGTATATACTACATTTTTCGAAAGTACTTCCATAACTCATAATTTACCTATTATACTAACCTATACCTATCTCTTATAGTTTTCGAGATAAAAAATAAAATATGTGTAAAATTCTCAAAAACATGATCTAGAATTAGCACTGGTAAAATCATGAGTGAACATTTTTAAAGTCGAAATTTGTACAGTACGTCTGTCCGTTCTGTAGCTACGCGGTATCCGTGAGAGGGAAAACGATATTCTCTCGATGTTTTTCGTAAAAAATTAGACGACGCGTCCCATCAATAAAAATTCGACAAATTTGCAAGTGGCCAATAAAATGAGTGGGCGGAGCGATTTGCGGTGACGTACTCGTCAAATCGACGTATAAAATATATTGCTGTTTATTTAAATGTTTTTTGTTCGCATTCCTTTCATAGACACAGATCCAGCAGATGTACTGTATTATCAGTTAACGAAACTCGATATATTCGATGTGTCTAAATCAAGCCATTGGATATTAAAAAGGAAGAGCAAAAAAGATATTTATGTCCGTTCGTTAAATTTGCGTTATTGATGTGTCTTAAATTGACGAGAGTAGATCACAGCGGAGCAGGAGTACGAAGATATCTCCGACTGCTCCACAAAGTATTTGCTCCAGAGGATGCAAAAGCGAAAACACTCCTCAAGAAAGGAGAGAGTGAAGGAATCAAGAAACACCCTGGCGCATTTCCACTAAAGGACAAGAGAGAATCTTTCACCTCTGCTCCGGCAAGGAGATAAAAAAGCCAGGATAGAAAGCCGTCCAACACCGAGCGGCAAGCAGAGACTTATCGCCAGCTTTGCCAGAAATCCAAGGAAAGGACATCGAGTTGGCGAGTCAATCGAGTCATCAACTCGAGGGAGAAAGACCATGGTCAGGTCCTCATAATAGGAATTTTCCTCAAATCAAAGGAGGCCTTAGAGAAAGGAAGATATACCCTCTATTATAGATTCTGAACAATACCGGTATCAGGTATAAGGATAGACCAAGTTAAAAAGGAGGAGAAAATATAAATCTCTAGCCTCCACCTTACGGGTACCTCAGGCGGAGATAAGCTCCTCGACTGTGAAGGGCACGGAAGGGCAAACCCAACCGTGGAAGGGTGTATGCCCTCGGAGGCAGATGTCTACTCCTTGGGGGAAGAACATATGTTGTCAGAGGAGAATGGGAAATACTCTGTTCCCCCTACAACACGAAAATCCCCCTCAAAACTCAAGAAATGGGGACACAATAGATCTTTAAGGTCTTGGTGATTAACCCCCCTCCCACTCACTCTGCATTCTCTTACATAACTGATTCACATAAAGTTTGAAAAATTTGTCATGGCAACGATCTGCTTTAAACGAAACAATAATTATTAAAATACCTTTGGTAGCACATCATAATACGACCACCAGCAAACTCCATAAGACGACGCATGGTGTCATTGATGACGTGCACCCAAAATTGTTTTAATTTCCCTAATAGAATGATTATTTTTTAAATTACTTTACTGAATAAACGGGTGTATCTATAAGGTTTAGGTATAGGAACATATCTCCCGAACATGATATATCGTTGAAAACATAGAGTTAAAAATAAAAAACTGAAAAGGTATTTTATTTATGTTTCGATTTTTTAAATTAATATACATAAATAAATTTAAAATAATAATTTGAGCCATTTTATAACTAACAAATATAGGTCATAACCCATGACTAAAGAATACAAGGGCATGTAACGCCCGTATACGGGCTGCAGAATTCATACCCATACAGCCACGGTACGTACTATGTACGTACCTGGTACGTAATGTTGGGACGAACGTCAGGTCCCTGGTACGTACAAGTACGTACCGGGGACGTACATTTTCCAACGCTCTGTACGTCCCCGGTACGTACCTGGGACGTGGCAATGTACGTACTATGTACGTCGCATGTACGTACATTCCAGGTACGTACATTTTATGTTTTGTTCCGGACCAAAACTGGACGTAAAATGATCGAAAGTACGTACAATGTACGTACTATGGACGCATGGTACAAAGAAAACAAGGTATGATCGATAGCGGCTCCAATTTCGTTAAGTTTGCGCATACCAACTGTGACGTCATATGCCATACAAAAAAATATCCATATTGTTCAATTGCCATTAATAAAAAAAGACCTAAATTAGGGAAGAATTAGGACATAACCCCAAAAGTTATGTCAAATCATCACGGCAAATCATCGAGCTTGACATTTGAAAAATTATTTTCACATTTATTGTGTCATCTGTTTGACAATTTAAAATTGGCGCGCGGAGCTTGCCGACCAATGGTGCCTGGTGCCTGTTATCACCTGTGACGTAGTGACCAACCTGCGCAATATCATACCTTGTATTCTTTGTATCATGCTATGGACGTACATTTTTCAACGACGTATACGACTTAGGAATTTAATTAGAAATAATAAATAATTCAATGGAAGACAGCTTAAAATATTTATTAATATAAAAACTCAGGTACAGGGTCATCCCTTATGTCTTGATACACCCGTGAGTCTGTCTTCGGTCCGGCAACTACACCCTTAGCGCACTCTGTCTTTTATTGAATGTTGATCACAGATGTTGATAGATATTTTATTTTTTTATTCTCGAACTACTTCTAACTAAAAAATACAAAAAGAAAACTAAGTATTCAAATATCTAATTCTTGCCTCTGTTTTGAAAAAATTGAATGAGCCGATTCTCAATCATTCGAGGTTGTGACTGTGCTAGGTGAAATAGTCACATTATATTATTACACTTTAACTTACCTTGAACCAACGAGCAACGAAGGCAACGACAAAAGAAAACAAGGTGGAAGCCAAACAACCTACGGCCACCATGAAACACAACACAATCGAAAACTGGATCGGAGTAGGTGCGCACTCAGTGTATTGTTGTTTTTATTTTTTACGTTGATTAATAAAAGATGGAACTACACTGAGTGCGCACGTGCGCTCTAGCTCTGCCAATCGAAAACGCCATTAGAAACCGCCCGACTTCCGATTCCGACAAGACTCGAATGTGAACGAATAACTTAGCGGGAAATTTAAACATAGGACTGCATAATTTTCCTGTTAGGCTTGATTGCATAATATATTGCATTTTTAACCCATCAGATTTCTTCAAAGGCTGTGATGCATTATGGTCATTGGATAATTTAGGAAATCATTTTTATAGCGGTCGGGTTAGATTTATTAATAAAAGAAGTAGAGGTAGGTTAGAGTGACTTGCATTAACGTTAGCCTAGAAAAGATACACTGATCCAGTCCATTCATTATTATTGGGTATATCTGACCAAAATAATCCAGTCATGATATTAAAATTAAATAACATTTTGTAAAGCGTTTTCAAAAATTTTCAAGATACGTACGTAGTACGTACTCACATGTACGTCCGTAGTACGTACTCGCATTTACGTCCGTAGTACGTACTCGCATGTACGTCCGTAGTGAAGCCCTACAATGTACAGCTGGTTCCAAAAAAAAATGAATACGACTCTTTACACATTTTTCGAAGATTTGGGCAGTGTATATTTATGTGTCAAGTATTTTGACATTTTAAGGTTATTGTGACATTGTATAAAACTACTTTGCTTTTGACAAAGTGGCAGATAAATTTTTCAGAACGTCAGCATGACATGAGTAGAGAAATGGGGGACTGGTATCATAGAATATACTGCCCGAAATAATAAAAATATGTTTTAAATCGTATTCAATTTTATTGGAACCAGCTGTACGTAAATAGTACGTCCCTAATTGGTCCCGGGACGTAAAATGGACATAAAATGTATGTCCCTGGGACGAAGTGTACTGTATGGGTAGACCTTACGAAAGAGTCATCCAGCTGGTTATCAGCGACAATTTTAGCGACTTTTAAGTTTGTTGTGTATAGTGTACAAACTTTATTACAATGGTAATTTGTTCAGCTTTCAAGTGTAAAAGGCGCAATGATAGAAAGAGCCAGAAGTTAGGTTTCATAGGTATATAAACAGTCCGCTCCACCTTTTTAGCGTTTTCTTATTGAATTCGATAATTATTTTTCTGATATTATATTTATGTACTTGATATTATGTGCTATACGTAGATACAAGTTTTGTACCTTTTGTTAACATTTTAATACGTTTTTTCTCGTAATTAATTAGTATGATACCACTGCATACACCATAGGCGTAGTCAAAACATTTATCAAAAATTATAAATATCGCTTCAAGCGGCTATGTTAAGAAAAATATGTGCCACGGCACTGTTTGGAAGAATGGTAATAGTTTGGTCTCGGGTGTTATTTGTCCATATATTCTTTAGTCATTGGTCATACCTAATAAATATTTAGTCACGTGATTAAGGTTAACCGGCACACGGCATAGTGTCACCCATTTCTACATATTTTCTTTTAATCAAAATATTTTAGGAAGCAAAAACGAATTAATTACAAATATATATAAACAGTTATTATTTACATCAACAAAAGTCGCCTCCTTAACAACACTTAAGGGACACAAAGAGCCATTATAACCGCTTTCCCGTTCAAAATCTTCTAATAAGGTTGCGATGAAATTTTTGCAACGACTGTTAAGCTGCTTCGGCATCTTGTACACCTCGCACCACAAGCGCACCACAAGCGCTTCTAAAAAGAACAATTTTCGACTGCAAAATCTTCACTTAAACCAAAAAATACAAAACTAAAGTGTCAAAGTCAAAACGAATCAAAATATCAGGAAATAAATAAATAAATGTGGCAACTTGACATTTTTTACAGCAGAGCTACTATCTGAATCGCCAGGGGGAAATTTAAATTCCAGTTAGTCAGCCCGGCGCCAAATATGTTCATGGTTGCCAACAATGAATTTAATAATCGCGCTCTCGATGATGTAAATTAAAGTTTATTTCGTATCGCTTATATATAATAATTTTAATTATATATAATGTAGATAAATAAATATAAAAAGGAATAAATAATTTTATTGATCTCCCTGTTTGATATCTCAATGGTTGATTTAGACAGATCGAATATGTCGACTTTCCTTATAAACCCAATTTCAGCTTTCAATATGCCGAATTTATGATTTAACCAACGCTTATTCAATATCATGTTTTTGTCAATTCTACACGTTTTATTTGTTATGTTATCTCGAACTGTTAGAAAAAAAGAGAAATTATAAAAGAAATTATTTTTGAGATTTTTTTATGGGGTTTGAAAATAGTTTCAAAAAATGTAATATACCGGATGTTCCATTTAAAATAACCAAGATGCTAACGCTTATAGTATGGAGCGGCAACACTGTAAAGCTGAAAATAATTTAGACAGATACGAGTAGGTGCCTGTATGCAAAAATCCCAATTTTCAAAAAAACCCTATCACCGATTATCCATAAACGTCTGACGTACCATGGCCATTAATCACCCTATATAGCAGTTATTAGTCCAATTATTTTTAGCAATAGACGATGATGATGTAATCGAAGACTATACAAAGGGAAAACGGAAGTTGAAACAGATGTACACAAAAATCTTTTACTTATGCAAAGGATCGAGGAATAATCTCAGTTACGAAAGCGTGGTAAACGAAAAATATCTTTTTTATTTAGAGTAAGTACAAAAAAACTATCTTTCATAATATTATTTTTATAACTCGGTTAAACACACAAATAACTTAAAAAAACGTATTTTTACACCATAACACAATTTAGCTTAATCATATCTAATAATATGACGTCTGTCTGTTATGATTTCTGATGCAATTGGAGAGGCACAGAGCTAAGGTGGCACCTATAACCTAAAAAAATCCATTTTAAAATATACAAATTTGCTTATGAAGGTTTTTATATATCAATTGTATCAAAATATATCAAAAATTACTTAGGAATTAATTTTTGATATCATAAAAACTACTTCTAAATAATAATTATGAAATAGTTACTTCTACTGCCGAGACGGCGATTGCTGTTATTCCTATAACTTTTACAGAACTGAGAATCCAGTCAAATACGATATTTGAACAGCCTGTTGTATAGGATCCACAACTGGTTGGTGTAGTATTCCAATCTGAAGGACCTTTTACTCCACAACACTTAAACTATAAATAAAATAACGTAAGATAGAGACTATGAAATTACATTATTTGAAGGATGACAGCTGATTAAAGTTTATTTGCTCTGAATTAAATAATAAAAATTCATCTAATGATGGGTTCAAACAGCGAAATAAAATAGGCATAAAAATAATTTGATTATGTATTTTGTCTTCAACTGCTATGTTTCTTAGAACCCCCTTTCTTATTTTATTTTATTCTTTTTTTATTTTATAATAAAAAAAAATATATAAACTACTCAAAACAATAATTATCGGATATTTGAAAAAAATATTAATTTTGTAAAACAAGACATCTAAACGCTTTGAAGCCTTTGTGGTGCTATCGCCGCATGATGAGGATTTCATTCACTTACCATGTCACAAACAACACCATGATCCAACGAATGCAAAAGGAATTAAGAAATTATACATAGTGCGAAAGTGAGGAATATGGCACACGTGGCATGTGATGGCGTAATGAGAAATACCAACTTATCCAACTATTCTTGCAGGGCAAAATAAATAGTAGAAGAGGTCAGGGGCGTCGACGAATATCGGGGCTGAAAAATCTTAGACGAGAATGACGACCATACCTTTATTTAGTGCGGTTGTTAACAGGATTATATGGACCAACATGATTGCCAACATCCATAGAGGATAGGCTCTGAAAAAAGAAGAAAACAAGAAAACAAGACACCTTGAATGCTTAGTTTGGATACTGTAAAGAGAATACGACGAAAGAGTGAGAGGGGGGGGGGAGAGAGAGGAGAGAGTATTCGAAACAGTAGGGAGTTTTCGTTGCTTACAAATTGCAATTCCGGTTAACGCTAATTGACAACTTTGACATTTCAATTTCGATTATCGTATATCGTAACCGCTAGCTGCCGATATTTTACGGACGTTAGCCAAAGCCGTTAACATAGCGGTACGCATGCGCACTAGCGCAGTAGAAACACAACATTGAAAAATACAGATCTAACCTAACATCATTCTATTTTGTTTATGTTTTGATTATTTATTTTATCTGTGTTAAACTCGTTGGGAATTCTTAGTGCTTCAACTAATCGAGGAATGTCTTTTTTTTCAAAGCTGAAGTTAGCTTTGCAGTCTTGGTCAGATAACATTTCTAGGTTGAACTCCCCATAAAGTTCTGCTCGATATTCGATGTTGTTTTCAAACCCTTCCAACAGCATAGCATCCTCCAAATCCGATTCATCACTAGAGTCCAATAAAATTAAATTGTCCATCCTATATAGCGATACCCAATGAAGTCATATAAAGCACTTTCAAATCAAACAACAATACAAAAACCAAAAATCAAAACACTACGCTACGGGTTGTGCTTAGCTGTCAGTTTTCGGTTATCGTATCGTATGTCGGCTCCGAACTGATGAACCGAAAGTCCGAAAACTGTTTTTTTATCTGTCAAAATAGCGGTTATGGTTACGTATACGTTAACCGTACCGTTGAATTTTTTTAAAGCAACGAAAACTCCCTAATAACCCTACGCGCTGACATGTAATAGTCAGCCGACTATTTAGTTGCAAAAGTGAAAACAATACATTCTTATGGAGCCGATCGGTCGGATATAATTGCATGTGAGCGCGGCTCCATAAGAATATATTGGTTTCACTTTACTTTTTACGTTATTATTATAAGTATTGATTAACTAAAAAGTCGGCCAACTGAAAAATGCATGGTTTATTTAGAAATATGTTATAATTACCTTTTTTCAAATATGCGATAATTATTTTGAGCGGTGTATTTAAACTACATCATATAAAAATGTAGTTATTACGTAAAATCAAAATACAATAATAACTTACGGTTTCCTGTATAAAGTCGAAAGTTTGTTGTGCTGTGTCCTCCTGATAGTATGCCTGAAGTAGTTGGTTTAGAGCTGAGTTTATTCCACTGTGTAATTGATTATCATCTTTGATTTTTAGCAAAGCGTACACGCCCAAAGCTACTTGAATCAAGAAAATAACAAAAAGGATGGCAGCATACTAAAATTACAAACAAACAGTAAAAATCAATACTAATTATCAAATCCAATCATTTCAATAATTTATTGATACTATTGATTGCTCATTACGCATACTATTTGTATGTTACACTTAAATAACATGGGATATACATAACAGTATAGATGGGGCTACTATCCATAAATTCTTAGACAAATTATATAAATAGACCAATCTTACTGTAGGAAACTAAGGTTTTCTTCTAGCGGAGAAAAAAACAGAACTCTATTCAAAAAATGAACCCGCCACAAAGGTGGACATTCTTTAAGGTCCCCAGGATATGCAAATATGATATAAACAAAGAAATGCTATGTCGCCAATGTATTTATTAAGAAAATCGTATTCGTATATGATTATTATATAATTTAGGATATACATAAATATATCACTTGGCCGGATAGTTCTGGAGCTGTGGCCGTAAAACCAAACTACTACCTCTATTATTATATAATGATTATACCTAGTACAATATCATCGAAAAAAAAACTGTGTTAGCGATGGCTATGAAATGAAGATCTGTCGATGTCATTTTATATGTAAAATTATATGGGGACTGCCATTGATGTTCATATCCAAGTCAATTGCACGCCGTTTCCCTGCAGTAGTGCAGTGGCGGCTTATTTAATACAAGTGAATCAGTAGTGTGGTATCGAACCGTTTTATAGGCTAATTTTAGTCCTTTATATGGAGTAGTGAGAATTAAAATGAATTAAGTCCAATTTCCTACTGTTTTGAGATAATCGTGTTTATACGTTTATAGATTTGTTTTATGTAGAGAAATGAATCAAGTCACACTTCTCGCATTAAGCACCTATAGCCTGTTTATCCAACTTGTTTATCTTCTTAATTAAGTAACATTAAAAAACGTTAACTCTCATTTTCTCCATAATTACTTTTTGGACTTGATTCAGTTCACTTCTGATAATATGTATATGTATAGACAATGGTACACTTGAAATAAGTAATACATTAAGCCGTAAGTAATACCTAGTTTATATTGCTCGTTTTGGCTTGAAATTTGGATATTCTGAAGTATATATTTGTACCTTTATTTGTACCGTATTTGTTTGATTGTATGTGTATCATCGTTGATAGTAAAGCGGAGTATAAATATTCGTAAGGTGTTGCTAGTATTGAAATCTTACCGTTGTCAACATACATGTGTTGCTCCTGAGTGCTCCACAGCATCCCAAAAAGGCAATAAACACTATAATGGAGCCTATAATTATCGCAATAATAGAAACATATCTGATGGCTTCGAAATCGTCAGGGATAGCATCTGATAATTTTGTGTAGTTGACCGTGTACAGTATTCCTAGAATTAATAAAGCTGCACCAACCAACTGAAATGAAAAATGAAAAACTACGTAAACAGTGCGTTTTAAAAAGTGATTTTATGATATTTTTTACATCAATTTTAATTTTTTATTACATGGATGTCTCTTAAATAAATGCAATTATTTAATGAACTGGTAGCATTTTTCTACGTCAGATATATATGCCTATGAGCTTTTTGAGCGCAATCTCGCAATGAATGAAAGAAATTCATGAAAATACGAAACTCCCATTTCTTTGTTTCAATAATAGAATTTAGTTATGTATAAAAAAATATTACCAAATTCTTACCTCTTAAAAAATAAATAATTACTTGCTAAAAATGTTTAGTTTCTCGCGTTGGAAAAACATTTCTAACGACATTGCGCCTGGCTGACATCGTAGAATTTATTTTCGTCGCCAACCGCTTGTCGGCTTTTATCCGCTGCCGGTAATGCACTATCCAGAAATTACGATCAGACTCTACAGATACAGACCCTGATTGGAAATTGACGTTAAGGCATTCAATTTTAAAATAAACACATTCAGAGCAATAAAATTCGTATTAAAATTAAAAAACAGAGAATCACGAAAGAAAGGTTGAACTCGTGCTACTTGTCGACTGTATAGTCAGCTAACGGTAGCGACTACCAGTAGCCTTACCACAGTACAGTTTGTGCATATCGATTGGTTATTTCCATTGTTTATCTTTGAATTTTTTGTCTGTTTTTGTGGAAAATCTGTGAATTTTAAGCACCATACCATCAAGTAATTATAATAATGATCCTTTTGCACGCTTAGGCTAAGTGTACCTATTCGCTGTGTGACATTCACACAGTTGTAATTTTTTTATGTGGATTTTTGTTTTCCGATTTTGTTTCAAACTTCATTCTTCATTGGCTCCATAAATTATTTTGGTTTAGGAAACTCCAATCTTCTATTGGATATTTTGTCGAACGTGAGCAAATCATGATAAAAAGCATATACATCTAAATGTGTTTTAGAGATAACGATAGATTCTCTTGAGGTTAATCCAATGTGACCACTTGCTCTTTGGTTTCTTTAAAAGAAAAGTCAACTGCTTACAAAGTTTCACTTTGTCGTGGAAGTATAAACTAATATCTTCTTTTGTTCCTTGGGCTCATACTATCATCACAGGACAAAGGGAAGTAATATTTTTTTTTTCAAAAAGAAAAGTCTCTTTGAAATTTAACCTGAACTGCCAAGAATTTCAAAAGTCTCAAGACGAGCCTTGTGTTTGTAGGTTACCATTAATAAGCAGATACATTTGAGTTGGATTCCAATACAAGACATAATGAAATTTGAATATATAATTCCTATTTTAATTCTTTAAATTGGCATACTATGAATGTCAGTTTAAAGTTAAACTCAATACGTCAATATATTATTATGCCACCTGATCCAGTCAATGATCTATTACATTAATATGGTGATTTGGATCTAACAATATTAGCATTCATGTGTGTAGATATTCATATATTCGTAAATATTATTGAAGAAAATAATTAAAATATTTTGTTGAAATTTTTAAGGAATTATATTTAACATAGGAATAATAAATAATACCTGTACCCATAGGACACAGTTAAAACACTTTATAAGAATATTTTCGAAAACATGAAATTATTTATATTATGTTATTTTTGAAGAAATATTGGTGTTGACATAATTAGATACAGTATTAACTAGTATTTTATTTTTATGACATTATATTTTCATGATTTATTTTATTATATAAATAATGCCTTAGAGTATATAGTTTTTTTAATTTAAAATCTCGTTTAACCCGGAATTTAAACCTCGTGTTCCCGGATACTCACTTATATTTCTATAAGTAACCCCATAGTAGTTTCCTACGTATGGCGCTATTTGGTTAAATATGGCATAAACTACTAGTTTAGTCTGTATTTAGTTGAGAATAGATTTTGTAGTTATTTGTTATGGCGTTTTTACACATTGCACACTGGCCGACCCGATACCGACACAATCATACCACGGTACCGACATGCGACATCGCGACATCGACACGATGAATGCTTTTACATTTTACATTTACCGACACCCGACACCGACAGACCCGTGTAGTCGTGCTGTGTTGTTTGTTACAAATATGGCTGCTGTGAAATTATAATATGTTATATTTATTGTTTTTAAGACTCAAAAAGCGAAAGCAGCAAAGGAAATTCTAGATACATCCAATAATAAAAACTTCCCGCCAACTAACTGTTTTCTCTCAGTATTTTATTTTTATTATCTATTATCATTTGTTTTATCCTAAAAACATGGTTGATTCGATAAGTTCTATTAGAATAACACTATCGTACTTAAAATAAGTAATGTTTATTTAAAAGCCAAGCATTTGAAATATTATTGACAAAAAATTAAAATTATCAAAACAACCGTCGATGACACACGATACGAGTTTATCGGCGAGTATGAAAGCATTCCACTTATTCATATATTGCGGGTCCACCATAGAATAAGTAAGCGTCCACTGACATGATTGTCGGTAGAGATGAGCAACAAATCGCAAACTGCGAATCAATCGCGGCGATTTTAAAATCGCAATCGCAACCTGCGATTGCCTCTCATAGGTAACTGCGACTACAGTTTTTTTTATTCGCAAGTTTCAATTTAGGCAACCAATATTACTATAGTTGAGATTTATATTTTTGAGATTTATATTTTGCCTCGATTTACGACTTCTTTTACTTGCGAGTTTCAATTGAGGCAACCAATATTACTATAGTAGCGATTTGCGATTTTGCTGCGATTTGCGATTTTGATGGGATTGTGATTTTGTAAACTAGGACCGTGATAACCTTCTATCTACGAGTTTGAATTTTTAGGAGTTGCGATTTGCAATTTTGTTGCGACTGTAATTTGGTCGTCCATTGAAGCATTTTATAGTAAACTGCGGTTGAATTTTTTCTCCGATTTTATCTTTTTATAGAGATATTTTTCTAGGGCCAATATCATAATATACCGGGTGTTTCTCAAGAGCGATTAGCCTCTATAACTTTTTTATTTTTTCTAATGAAAAAACGAGAATTGGTATGTAAACATATGACATAAATTAGGATTGATTGACGTATTCAATTCGTTTCGATCACTTCCTTCTTCTTCTTCTTCTTCGAGTTCCATCTCCTAATGGAGGTTGGAAATCATCATGGCAATTCTAACTTTGTTAACGGCTGCTCTGAATAACTGGTTTGAAGTCATTCCAAACCATTCTCTCAAATTCTTGAGCCATGATATTCTTCTTCTTCGTTCGATCACTTCCTGTTTCACCGGAAATGACTACAACTTTTGATTTTTAAATGACACCCTCGGTATTTTTTTACTTTATTCGCTAGATAGTACAATATTTAAATATTAATATGGCAATCACCGTTTACAGTCACAACGATTTAAAAATCGCAATCGTAATTTCAATTGAGATTGAAGAATCCAGTTTGTCGGGAGGTGTGAAAACGCCCGTTCTCGCCTCATTCCCCGCACCGCGCCTTCGCGATCAGGACAAAGGTGGCGACCATGGCTGGGAAACTTAAATGGAAATGACAGTTCATTAAAAATAGTTTTTCCTCCAAGATGCAGAGGCGCAAAATATTAAAACTGTCAATATTAACAATGCAAATGTCAATATCTGACAATAACAAAATTTGATTTTTAACTGTCACTCAGAGACGCTTTTGTTGTGATTTTACGATTTGATTTCGTTTTGATTTGTCGAATTATTGTAAAATTAAATTCCTTCAGATTTTTTGCCAGTATTCTGTTTTAGACAATGTTTTTTAAAAATGGTGGGACAATTTGTGTTTTGTAATAACTCTTAATTATTTTTTATCATGGAGTTTAATTGTTGTACACCTGATTTCCGAAGGATACAATGGTAAGTAAATTAAACATATCTACTTACAGTTATAGATTTTTTAAATTAGTACTGCTAATAAATGCTACTTGCAGAGCAGTTATTTAATTTTTTTACGGTGCATAAGGAATTAAGGACGCGCGTTTTATATTAGCATGATCAGCAGATTACATCTGATTTAATTTGTTTTTATTATTTCAGGTCCCAAACGGAAACAAACTGGGAATCTTGCCTACACCAAAATTATTTACCTAGCCGTTTCCAATTCACTTCAAAGGGAGGAAAATTATGTAAACTGCCTGCTATTTGCTGAAAAAAACCGCCAAAGATTAAATTATAACTGTAACAACTTAATATATACTATTTCTAGTATTTTTAATATATTTTTTAATTAATATCCGACATATAAGAACACTTTGTATGCTTTTAATTCAGTTGATTTATCGTTTATAATATGTTCGACCTAATTAAAAGCACACAAAGTGTTCTTACATGTATGTCTAAATTTATTTTAAATTAACTAAAAAACAACCCCCCTTCCCCGCACCCCTCTCTTCCATTAGTATTTCTTCCTCCGTCTACCAGAGGCGCCCTTGTATAATAAAATTGAAATGTATTATAAGTTGCCTATCTATTTAATAGTATAAGTTGTGGTATAAGTCTTTTATCTATGGTGGCGACATAAATGTTATTAACTTATTGCTGACAAATAACTTAGCTATTTTCAATTTATATTAAAAATGGCAGTTAGAAAAGATTATTATTATATTCAGATCTAACCGCCTTAAAAGTACTTGCACTTTTTTAAGAGACACCCTGTATTGCAGTCGTGATTTCGGGAAACTATGGTTAAAATGGAAAACATCAGACCGCTCTATAAGTCACGAGAACAACAATATTTGCTTTGACAGATAATAAATAAGCCTTTGCTAGGAAACAGATAAGATTTGGTGGTAATAAACATAATTATATATGAGTACATGAAAATATAGGCACAGCAAAGATAAAGGATATATTTGTAATAAATGAGTCAAAATAACTAAAAAGAGTCCTTAACTCGGATTAACATTACTATTTATATGAGAAAAAACGAAATATTTCAATATTTTTAGTTTTTCGTAAATCTGTAGGTTTCAAATATTTATAATGGATGCTTTCTATAGATTTTTTACACTAAATTCAAAAATATATACCATGGAATCGCTTTTATCATCAAGAGCAAATAAAAAAGCCACGAAGCAGTAATACATATTAATAAATCAATATATACATATAATATACAAATAAATTATATATAATGGTTCAATTCAATACATTATTAGCAAATAAACTTGGAAGTTTGTGTTTTTCAGTATAGCAAACATAAAGGTCAGTGGATTTACTGATATTTTAGAAGTATCTTTTAATGGAATTCATAGTTACCCTAGATAATAAAAAATCGATTCAGGGGCATTATTTATAACAAACTGTCATATATCTTTGTAAGAAAGTTGATTACTACCCTGAAAAATTCAAGCTTCTAACTTTGTACTGAAATAGCTAATTTAAATATGTGTGGTACTTACAAAAAAGGCAAAATTTGCCAAAAATACAAATATTCTCGTGAGACCTTGTGTGCAACCCATATTTCTCCTGCCTACAATCCACAATAAAAATGTTATCACTAAAAATAAATAGAGGCGCAAACAAGGATCTTATATTAGGTTGATAACAATCTTATCATCTGTAGATAAAGGCTAAAACACATTCGGTGTATACATATGATATAACTGAAAAGCTGTAAGCTCGAGCCCAACTTTTATTATTATTTCCTAAAAAAGAAATTCGTAGACACTATTGAAAATGAAAAATTTACTTCATGTTAAGTAGATATCCAACACCAATTCTCTATAATATACTGTCTCATTCAAACGTAAAAACCAAAGTTTACAGAATATATCGTTTGTATACAAGAGAAAGTTACCAAGCCCATCTGTAAAACAGCCTCTACGCTATCCCCGAAATATTTCTGGAAATATTTCATGAAACATTTCGCAAAACATTTCTGGAAATACTTTCAGAAGTAAACTCAAATATAAGCCCGTGTTATAAAAATTAGATCCCACGTTTCCTGAAATTGATCGAGACGCGCAGTGATTCTAAACAGGGTAGTAAACAAACAACCGATCACGGCGCGTCTCGATCTTTTTCAGGAAACGTGGGAACTAATTTTTCGGAAACGTTGTGGTGGCTTCAGAAAAATAAGTAAACATGGAGCATGAATGAATATCATTAATTTGTAATGGAGTGTAATGTAATACCCGAGGTAATACCACTATATTAAACTGATATGAAAAATCAAAAACAGTGCATTTAGAACACAGTTACGATTTACGATGGTAGATTAAATTGGCTATTCCTCTAAGGTTACACAAGAATATTTAGTTTTAATCATTGTCTAACATTATTAATTACAATATAATAAAAAAAAATATTTCCATAGCTTAAAATCGTTAAACTGGCTGGGCAATACGCAGCATGTTCTGGCGTCCGCCTTTTATAAGTTATAATCCACGGTGTTAAGCTATTTAAAAAATCGTCTAATTATTTCTTATTTTGAATTGATTTATATCAAACCATGTTATTATTATATATAAAAGTATCTTTTATTGACATCGGGTCAATCAATAATTTTCCCAATCAGCTCGATATATTGATGATGTTGCCAGTATTACTCATCAAGCAATACTACTGTTATATTAATCAATTAAGGCCGAGTAACAACAATTATAACGTATAATAACATATACAATTATTTTATATACTAATTCATTATAATAAAATCAAATAATAAACATATTGTAATTATATCCCTGCAGATTGAGTGAAAAGTTTTGTTCTTAAATATAATGCAATTAACGCAATATCATCGTACCAACAACTATTTTAGAAACGTCTAGGTTTACTTATTTCACTGAGATTTATGAATAAAAGTCTTTTGCCTCGGGTACAGATACCGCCACGTTTTGGAAATAGCTCAAAACGAAACAAAATTGAACGAGGCAACAGGAGACGCCAAAAAAAATTGCCCCACATCCTCCTCACGAGTAGTTTTCAGGCGCTTTTAAGAATCGAAAGTAGGTCGAGGCAAACCGAAGTGGGTCAAGACAACTGGAAATAAATCGAAATGCAACAAAGTTGGGCGACGAAATGCGCCCTTGACTTTTTTCGAAGAGTTCTCCGCATAGTGTAAAGGATGTTTAACAAATGTTTTATTTACGTGTATTTTTTTACATAATATGGACTTGAACAATTGTGTAATATAACATTGTGAACTTTATGTACAAAAAAATGGCGTTTTGATCAACTTTTTTTGTAAAAATATATGAATTTTAAATATTATATTGTTAAAAAATTAAAGTCGGTGTATACCGACAATATATGAGCAGAGTTAAAACTAGAACAAAATATTTTTTCGTAGGGAAATTGTTAAACGATCAATAAACAATTTTTTTAATTGGTTCCGGTTGACTCCGATTTTGAATAAACCACTGCCTAAAGTACAGGAAGTGATGCAAGTTGATGATACTCCTGAGAGACATTGCAAAATATTTGTGAAAATATTCACTGCTAAAAATTTACCTAAACGAAAAAGTGTAGATGAGACAATTAGACCATTTTTAGAAATAAGCCATGAGGATTACATAGTGAAAACTAATGTTGGATCAGGATGCAATCCTCTATGGAATGAATTGGTAGAACTGCCAGTGAAGTAAGTACAATAGGATTGTGCAAGTATAAACGGCATCAGATATGGCTTGGAAATAAAGTTTGCTGTCATTTTGTATGTAAAATTATATGGAAAATGGAAAATGTTATCGAACGTCATTTTCAAGCCTACTAGACGCTGTTTCTTTTCGATCGTACGAAAGAATTCAATAAAAACTTTTGTAATCATAACATTGTTTTTCAGAAGTCATCACATGGATTATTTAAATCCTAACGCTTTGAATACTACAATATCTATAAAAGTATTTGACTGGATAGCTTCTTCTGACACTGATGATAAGGAGGATATAACGTTTTGGTTAGGAGATATAAATATTCCTATATCTGCCCTTACTACAGGTTTGAATGTAGGTAAATCCTATCTAAGGAATTTTATAAATGTTTAATATTTTTTTTATTATGTATTTTTAATCATTTAATAGATGCAGGGTTGGTTTGAAATAAAAAGGCCCAACTTAATATACGGGTATGAATTTGTGGAAGAACAAACTCAAAGATCGCCAAGGCATATTTCTGGATTAAGTGGCACTTATCTTCAATTAAATCTGAGTATAAGTCCTAGTGTTCCTTTATTAGAACCTAACATGGTAGTACTCCCATAAATACACAGGGTGTCTCTTAAATAAGTCCAATAAGACAGAGTAAAATTTAATTTTTTTTTAATAAACCCTAATGGGCGTTTTAGGGTGGAAATATACTACGTTGTAAATTTGTGAACTTATGTAAGAGACACCCTGTATAAAAGTGATATGATGATGTATACTAACATTAAATTTTCATGAATGTTTTACGAGTTTTATGACAAACATTTTTTAGGATGAGCTTCCTTGTAATGAAGTACCATTCATTAAAAATCATATACTACGATGGAATAATGCTTTCAATAACAATTTTCCTTTAAATAAATTTAATGCTCTTTCGATAGGTATTAATAAAAGAACGCACTGTATTACCAGGTATAGTGATTATTTTGTAACCGTTATAAAAATGTATAATGAATTTGTATATAAAGGTATATCAAACCCTTGGAGCCACCTCAAACAGACATGGAAATTTTTGAAATAACCACCGAACAGTGTCTGAACTATGTGTCCTTAATACCATGTATGGAAGTTAATAAATTTTATCAGAATGTGTGGCAAACTACAGATGTAAGATATTATGTTAAAATAATATTTTTTTATTGTTGTCACAATATTTTTTTTTTGTCACTTGTCACAAACATAAAATTCATTTTAGGAAATGCTAAACACAATGGTAGGATCAGTCATAGATCACTGCATAGCCCTTACGTGTTTTCTCTTAGCTCTGAAACAAGAAGTTTGGTTGCTTTTAGGTAAAAATTACTAAAAATAGACCCCATTTTTTTGTTTAACGTGGTTTTTAGGTTTTGGTATACCCCATGGCGTGACTGCGTATGTCCTGATTTGTGAATATGACAGAAGCTCTAAAGCCCTAACTTATTCAATCCTAGACGTTGTTAATAATAAAAAATATAGTTTGTTGGATCCCTATTGTCCTTTACAGAGAGTTTTTTGTTTGGCGAACGAGACAAATGTAAGTTTTTTGCTTTAAATAATACAATTTTTATTTTTATAGATTAACTTGTCACTGTGCCAACGCATAAAAGAGTTATTTAGTCAGTAGAATTTTATCTTGTTTATCTTAATTCAAGCTGTAAAATTTAAAGAACTATGATGAATCATTTTGCCGGATATATATTTAATCGTAAATATACTAAAAGGAAAATCTCTTCAAATTATCTATCAAATAATATCGTCTATTTATCCTTTTATTGAAATTTATGCCCAGATATATTAAAAAGAATTGGTGATATGATTTCCAGGTATAAAGGCACTTTATTTCCATTAAGTATTGTTTTCCTGCTCTCATTACCTCTACCGGCTCACATTCCGCTCCGAGTTATTTTCTTAAAATAAATACTTTTCTTAAAATAATATAATCTTTCTGGATTGTTCATCCCTTTTTTAACAAGATTTACATCTTTTGATTTTTCTTCTACATCGAACGGTTTTTGAACAGAATAATTAGATCAACTATATCTACTATCACAAAATCACTAGAAAACGAGCATACATTAATATCAAGGCGGATCGGTTGCAATGTGTTTGTTGCTTAAAGCACGACCAAAGACGTTATACGTAATTTTTATGCGTATCTTTAACGTACGTACAAAACGCAAACGTAGCGAATCAGGGTACCTATTCTTAACCACTCGCATCTTCAAATATCGCTCGCATCTTCGAGAACGCCATATAACAATATACATGTAAATGCGCATACGCAAAATGCGAACGATGTCAAGAGTAGCACCGCACTAGCTAGTTATTTGAGTTATTTCCGAAATTTTGAGACACGTGTAACAGAAAAAAATATGGACCTATTTTTAAGCAAACGAATACTCCATTTTTCAATCTATTTACTTATTCTAAATGTTAGTTCTTGGCCAAAATACCTGAATGAATATGTGAAACTCTAAAAGGTGGAATATAATTTTAGTAAACTCTTAATAAAAGTAATCATAGAAAGTGTCTCTATGTTCCAATACTTTTGAATATTAAATATATTTTAAGTTGCAAATGTCTTCGTACTTCCAATAATATGATAATTATTTTTTCGATATTACTCATAAATATATGTAGAAAGGAATATACCGTTGGTGCATCATCGTTGGAAACAGGAAATCTCATGCAAATTTTGAATTGTTCAAATATTGGCTCCCCTGTTGATTTTACAGCAAAGTCGCAAATATATTTTTTAAAGGTTTATGTATGGTAAATACACATTTTTTTTTGTTAGAGAAATTTTGTTTTTTTTGTTGTTGTGTTTGTTGGTAAATACACATGCCAAATTTGAACCAGCCGAATTTTTAGACCAGCCGATTTTGAGTAATTTAAAAAAGATTGCATCTATTTTTATATTAAAACCGAACAGAGAACAATCAAACACCCGTCAAAAACTGACATACCTTAGGTTTACAACCTATGATTTTGTCATTGTCAAGGGCAGGGCCGTTCCCATAGGCCGTTCCTGCCGAACGTGCAGTGCGTGCACGCACGTAGGCGCAACATTTTGGGAGCGCAAAATCGAAGGGTCAATCAGTACTTTGTAACAAAGTACGAAGGACAGGTCAGATTTTGATGCGAGACGAGACTTCTAGGGTATTAAGATATTCTTTGCTATGGTTCATACGCATCGGCGTCCGTTTGTCGTTCATCGTTCCGTCAAACCAATAAAATTGAAATACGATCTGTCATTTTTGAAATAAACCAATAAAACTGGTTAAAAAGAACAAGAAACGACGCATGATGGATTTATATTTAAACCCATCCATAGTTAACTTAAAAATTATTAGAAACTTTTTTTAGTAAAATAAATAGATTGGTATACGTCATCTTCTGTCATCGTCTGTCGAAATCTTACCTGAGAAAAAAAACAGAGATATCGACGGAAATCCATATACGGTATACAGCGGTATACAAAAAGCACATAATTGACGAAAAAGTGACATTAATTTTTTTTTTATTAAAATATGTTTTGACTTTTCAATGTCAAAAAATATTTTAATGTTTCCCTGGTTACTAGTAGTGGGAACTATCGAATGAATACTATCGAAACATTCGATAGTTGCAATTCATTCGAATAATTCGATAGTTAGTAAGAAAACATTCGTTGAAAACTATTCGAATAAAAATTATCGAATAGATCCGTCATCTGCCTTGAAATATTGTATTCTAGTAATTCGGCAGCAAAAACCATTCATTTATAAAATTCATTCATTTATAAAATTCATTCATTTATGAAATTCATTTATTCGTCAGGATCGATTATAATAAAATATTAACTGAATTTTAGTTGTCGCCCGGCGACGTAGGTTTTTTTCCGAGAAAGCGGTCGGTGGCAATGCTATGAAAGAAGCCGGCATCTTTGATTTTTTGCGGAGTCATATATAGATAAGGACACATTATTTTTTTTATTGAGGTGCTAGTATTTACACAGAAAATACATTATGAAGGGCGCTGTTGCCATATTTTTGTATTATTGATATTAGCAAAGAATATTATTGTTTGGCTTTAGTTAGTTAGGGATAGTATGTCTATATATTCTGCATTTTTATTAATATTCTGTTGTTACACTGCAATAATACTTGTTATTTTGGATGTAGGAAAATTATTTTTAATGTTTTTAAGCAAAGACTGGTTTAATAAATAATAATAACAGTAATAATTTGTTATACCTATTAACAACAAAATTTAAAATCATTTAATATAAATATTTTTTTTAAGTAGTAGCAAAATATAAACAACAAATTAGATGTCAAAATTATTTATATTAGATCCTATTTAAAAATAATATAATCTCTAATTTTTTTGGCAACGTTGGTTTATTAAATAATAATAATTACAGAACTAATTTGTTATATTAACAACAAATTTTAAAATCATGAAATATAAACATTTATTAATTTTTCTAAGCAAGCGGTATAATGGAAGGAAAATATAAATAAAAATTAGAAATCAAAATTATTTATATTAGGTGCTTTATATTACTATTTAAAAATTATATTTACTTTTACTGGCATTTACTTTAAAAAAATAAATGAAATATTTCTTCGCAAAAACTACATGTAAGAGAATTAGCATAAACAAAATACAAACATCGTTAACTTTTTTTTTAAATTGGCACGTGTAAAATTTTCATTTTAATTTTCTCACCCCATAGTTTGAGTTCGATAACCATTTATTTAACCACATTACTTAAATATAATTATTAAGTTCCAACTAATTCATAGGTATTATTAAAACATCTAAAATACAAATATGTATTTTTAAAATTAATTTTAAAATTAAGTTCATCTCATCTCTCTTAAAAATTGCTACTTCTCAAAATTTCCCATTAAAAAATAGACCATATACCATATAAAATGAAATAATTGAAAGATCGGACTACGAAAAACCACACAAATTATCGGAAAAATTTTGACCACCTGCACATGCACACAATCGTCAATAAATAAAATTAAAAAATAACTACTATTTTAGTATTTTAACAATTTTAATAAACGCAAAAATAGCACAGTATTTATACGGCGAAGTTATAAAAATTTGGAAGAACCAATAATGCACTGACGCATACAAAATTCAAACGAATACTAAATTTCATTTATCAAAAGCATTCGATAGTCGTGGCCATAGACAAACTAACAAAAGCAAGACTTTTCAAACGATTGAGGAAATCGAATTATTGTTTTTGCGCTGGCCAGTTGAGTCAGAAATCATCGCGCAGTCGCACTCGTCAAACCTAACCTAAATAAAACGAAAAACGTTTTTGCCTTGAACGAACTGTTGAATTCCTGATTTTGCGTTTTGATTGGTTATTACTATTATTTTATTAGCGTACAAAACGAAAACAAATAATGTAATACATTTTACACTTATGAAGAGCATAATAATTACTGTGATTATACATATTATTGTGATTACATCGCTAACGTACACAAAACGAAGGTCCTACAAATTGACTGTAAGTTATAAGAATCTTTATCTTTTAAATCTCTTTATGATTTGAATTTTCGTGCTTTATATTTTATAATAGACTCTAAATGTTAATATTTTTTAAATTCTTGTGAAAATGTGAAGTTTATGTTTTTGTTTTATATTTGAAAAAGTTGTATATTTTTAAGATGTTTCTTGTTGTTCCTATTATTAATATTATAATATACATAATTATTTTTTTGTACCTTTTGAAGAATAATGCTTTTATTTCGTTTGCCATATAACTGTTGTTTTTTTTATCATCTTTTTTATTATTTATTAAAATAAACGAAAAAAAAAAGTCAAATAAACGAAAACGTATTCCTCTTATTAAAGAGGAATACGTTTTCGTTTATTTGACTTTTTTTTTGTTTTTATATCTGTTACGTCCAGAAATTAGTGTTTATTTTACCGATGGAAATGGAAATAAATGTATTTGATTTTAATAAACGCTTATTAATTAAACATCCTTTTTACAAAATACCCAATCCATAAGTAAAACATTCTCGTCTAAAAGACTACTACAAAATACACAATCCATAAGTAAACCGTCCTCGTCTAAAAGGCCAGTTGACGCAAGCGCGGTAATAAACTCTTATCAAACTTGTTGCCGTTTTGCAGTACAGCGTTGACGCGTCTTGCTTTTGTTAGTTTGTCTATGGTCGTGGCTCAACGATAACCATTTAGTCGCACGGCGAGGTTGTCATATATGCTTTAGTTTACAAATGAATGAATGATTTTATTCGAATAAAACCATTCGATAGTTGAAATCATTCATTCATTAACCATTCGATAGTCTAATTCATTCGATAGTTCCCATCGCTACTGGTTACTGATCTTATGTGTTGCCCATTCATCATAGCTATATTTAAAACATTTTTAAAAAAGAATATATCGTTAGATAATTTAATTTTTGTTTAAAATTTATATAAAAAGTATATTGAAAAAATATGACAAATATTTTCAAAATAATTAATACACATATCAGTTATATCTTGATTA